TGTAACCAGAGCTTTAGATAATTGCCTCTTTTTTTGTCAACACAGGTTGGTTCAATTACTTAGAATGCAATTGATCAGACGAATTATGCTTCTCTGATATGTTACTACAATACAGTTTGTGATAATTTCACTTTAAAAATCGACACTACTCGCTCTTTATCGCTAAACTCACAATTTGTTGACTTTTCATTGGACATTTGTAGATTTTATGTGAACAGCCATGCAATTGTTTAAACTATATTTAATACAAAATTGCTTCCAGATTTAATCTCATAGCACCTATCTTTTACAAATTTTCTGGGGGGTATGCCTCCAGACCCTCGTAGCATAAGCATGCTTTGCATGTTGATTGTGCTTCGCACAGTATGTGTTGGGTTTTGAATTCACAAATTAAAAACCCATTTCAAACATTCTATGTACAGGCCTGATGTGAATCACTAAGTAATCTCAACATGCTAAATCAAAATATAAAAATTATGCAAAATATTCAACTTACTAAATTAAAGTATAAAAATCATACAATATGCTCAACGGGTTAAATCGAAATACAAAGTACATATAATTTGCTCAATACATTAATTCCAAATTTAAAATATATAAAACATGCTCAACACGTTAAATCAAAATATGAAACTAATGAAACACGTTCAGTATGTTAAATCAAAATATATAATCATTAAACATGCTCAACATAAAGACACTTTTCCCCACTTTGAAAAGTGAAATGTTAATACAGTTGTTTGAAAGGAATCAATAAAATGTGTTATCCATTGTTTCTATGCATTTACAGTGAGCAAGTTACAAATTATAAACATAAAATATCTGTACGACTTAAGGATTATTATAATCCATAAATATTTAAATAACGTAGATGTTTATGAAATTTATCATGACTTTTAGAGTTCTCCCCATCAACAAAAAACAAAAGTGGTAAAATTATCAAGAAGTTTAAACTAGGCACTACATTTGTTGCTTTTAATATATATATAATATTGTTTGTTTGTAATTAAGCACAAAGCTACACAATGGGCTATATGTGCTCTGCCCACCAGGGGTATTGAAACCCGGATTCTAGCGTTGTAAGTCCGCAGACTTACCGCTGTGCCACTGGGGGGCATATATAATATACATCATATAAACAAGAAGTACTACGCGAGTGAATGAGATTAAGAAGTTCCTTAAAAGTCTGACTCACGTGACTTATGGAGTTGTCTCTAATTTCGATCAAACATAGCAAGAGCAGAGCAACAGTTATGTCCTCAAACGATTATGGAGCCAGCTCATCTACAGAACACTGCGGGAATCCTCTTCTTTGATGTCAGCACGGAGTTAATGAAAGAAATATAACTGTAAGCAGAAAAGAAAGCTGTGTAAAATAAATTACGAAAATTTAAGGATATGGTAACGAAAGTCGACTTCATAGTTCTACTTGAATGTTTAAAATTTAGATTGTGAATTCAAAAAGTACCCAATAATGATGAAGCAGTATTTTTCATTAATCTGTGTTTGTGAGTGAGATTATTTTTGACAACAAAACACTATCTTCGGCTAAATTTGGGTTTCCTTTTAACCAGCAAGCAAGCACTTTTCTAATCAAATGTATTTTTTATTTTTATTTTTGAGGGAATGCTCAAAAGATTGGGTGAGTTAAAACAGATTCTACAGGTTATTCCCTGTGACATCGAGGCACAAGAATACACTAAGAAGTGCATATATTTACTCAATCTAAAGCTGAATAACAAGCTGGTGAGGAAAAATGAGTTGAATAAAAGGAAACACAACCTAAAACCACCATACAAACTAATATATATTAATTTAAAGACTAAAACAGAACACTATAAAGCTAAAGTATATGAAAAAGGTGAACTTTATTAACTATAATTGTTGACTGAATACGGAGACCGATGTTTTGTAGCTTGCGTCCCGTTTTTAACAAATGGCGCTCCGCGCTTTAGAGCCGCGGGTGTGTTGTAAAAGTTTGTTTTTGTTTGTATTTGTTTTTAAATTTCGCGCAAAGCTACACAAGGGCTATCTGCGCTAGCCGTCCCTAATTTAGCAGTGTAAGACTATAGGGAAGGCAGCTAGTCATCACCACCCACCGCCAACTCTTTTACCAACGAATAGTGGGATTGACCGTCACATTATAACGCCCCCACAGCTTAAAGGGCGAGCATGTTCGGTGTGACGGGGATTCGAACCTGCGACCCTCAGATTGCGAGTCGAGCGCTTTAACCACCTGGCCATGCCGGGCCTTGTTGTAAGAGTAACGGTCAAATCTCACTGTTTGATTATGTTAACCCTAAGGTTGACGGTAGACGCTGTCTAATAGCAGCCTTTCCTCTATCATTTCTAAATTAGGGACGGCTAGCACCCCTAGCATTAATGTAGCTTTGTTCAAGTATCCAAAACAAATAAAGAAAGCCCTCCCCCTTCTGTGGCTCAGCGATAAATCTGAAGACTTATAATGCTAAAAACCGGACTTCGATACCCGTGGTGGGCACAGCATAGATAGCCCACTGTGTAACTTTGCGCTTAACAACAAACAAATCCTTCTTTGTAGAAAATGTCTTGTTTCAAATAGTTTAACATAAAGAAACATGTTGGTTAATATATGTTATTTAACATAAGCAAGAGCGTTTCGAAGTTTAGATGCACATGTAGGAAGTTGTGTATTCGTTTTTACAAATACAACCGTTCAGTTAATGTGGTCCAGGCTTGGGCTTGGATCAAATGGTCTAGAGCTAGAGACGTGATGCTACTGAACTTTCCACTTAGCTTACAAAACGCAATTCAGGTTGAAAATGTCACTTTTACTTAACGTGTTAAATAAAAACTCATTCTCTCACGTTAGATACGAACCATAAACAGGGTCGGATCAAAAGTCAGTAAGGCCTTGGGCTAAATTGTTCTGCCGGATCTATTATGGTCGTGAATACAGAATAAGGTAAAAACAAAAGCTGAATCTCATAACGGGCCTTTTTGTTTAGCCCGTAACTGGGGATATAGCCACAATATCCCCCGCTTTAATCCGCCCTTGACCCTAGATAGG